ATATATATAAAAACTTAAAATATTCTGCTGCCAATAATATTTTTTGATACTTTATAAATTATTAAGATAAATTATTAACTGTAATACGTGTAATAGCTATCATATTTTTTTTGAAAGTTTCATATTAAATAAATCATTCCTTCCATATAAATTTGTATATATGCATCTTTTTCATGCTAATCTTCCAACTAATTCAAAACTTGTTTATTTCAAGAAATAAGCATGTTTTTTAATTCTAATAAACAATGTATTTTTGAAATTTTCAATTCTGTTCGTTTATTAAATATATATTTTTTCAGTATTATAATAATATGGGCGTTACTTTAATATCTATTTAAACAAAAATGACATTTAAGTAAAATGGTTGATGATATCTTGCAGCCTCTAATTTTACCGATAATGGAATTATCATGTATGTGCCCCGATCTGAGCAAATGCGAAGGTCTTTTTGGAGGCGTATCTTTTCTTAAATACGACTCGTGTATTAATACAAAAAGGCACTTTGGGTTTAATAAAAGTCAAACGAAAATACATTAATTAAAATATTTAATTATCAAATTAAAAATGGGCTTTGTTAACGAATTTTCCAAAACTATTCATTATGCATTCCATTCTTAATATGTTATCATCAATCTAAGAGTCGGAAATTGGCCACATCGCAGTATTGAAAGTGAAAAAATAATAATTCTCGCTAATCTTTAAACTGAAATAACTTGTATAACACAAAATATTTTTATTACTTTTATGAATAGGATATCTATTTTAATTTAACAATTAAAACATTAAAATATAATATTGTAGAAATTTTATCTTAAGAAAAATTTCTAAAAATATATTCTTTTTTCTTTCTATTATATACGGCTTTTTTTAGTATGTTCTTTATACAACAAATCCCGCCGTTAAATATCATTATTATATCGAAGGTCATAATATTTTTTATCAAGTATATCTTAACACAACACACAATCTGGTATTACGTACGTCGTTGTGCTAAAAAAAATTTTTTCCGAGAAGTCACATAAAGTACATATATACCTTTATCACACATGCATGAAAATAACGCTCGTCTAAGGAACATTGCACAAAAGACGCGCTAAGAAAGCAGAGGCGTATAAATTTGCGGGGTGATGCTTGAGATGTGCGCACCGATCGGAACATCCCCTTTGAGGTATTCATCGAGGGAGGAAGAGCAACTTCCTCTTCGCTGCTCGTTCTACTTTCTAGCATGGCATTAAACGAGGCGAGCAAGGGTTTGATGGATGTCTCGCAAATACTCGGTTTTTAAGAAATTGGTAGTAATTGTTATATACCTCGAAAATCTTAATCTTTCGATAAGGATATATATTATATAATATCTCTTACGCATTTCAATCTCAATATGTAGTAAAAATTTATAGAAATTATGTAACTCTGTTATGTTTGCGTAACGTAAGCATTATAGAAATCATACTTTACGACAAATAATGTTATACTTAATAATGTTACAAGTACAGATTATAATTTAATCTCAACTCTATTGTATATTATTTACACGATTATTATAACAAATAGAAAAAATAATGAAGAAGAAGTTAAAATAAGAAAATAGTCGTGAAAGTAAAAATATAATAATATATAAATATATAAATTTGCATATATTATTTCTGACAATGTTAATCATATATATTAAGTTTTTATCCAAAAATTAATAGAAATTGATGAGATATTCGAATTAAAAATTAGAATTATCGTAAGTTCAGGATCAAATTAAATCTCAATTTGTTTGTAATGGTTTTACTTTTTAGTTTATAATTTACAGTTCATATAATAAAATTGCGTTATAAAAAATCCGAATATAATTCTCAGTATAATTTTATTATAAATACGCAGTTTTATGTAATATAAACGTTTTACATTATTCAAATATGATTGATCACTATTTCTATTTTTCCAGACGTACATATATACAGGGTGTTCTAAAATATATAGGACTAGCTTTGGTGTGCAAATAGAGCAAACTAAAAGTTTAATCGAAAAGTCTTGTACTATTTTGTAATTTTCGCAATAATTAATGATATTATTAATTTCTAATGAATCTCGTGTATTCGCCCAGCCCATCGCCAAATGCAAGCACGCAGCAAGATACGATCGCTCAACGTGTTGTTTTTTTTTCACTGCGCATAACTATAATTGTCGCTTATTGCTTATAATAAACAACTCCTGCGTTTCTATTACGACAGGTGAACGTGCATTTTATTTAATGTGACCTGCTTATTTGGATTTTTAGAAATTAGCAATTTTTAGAAATTAATCTCTCATTACCTTTTGCAAAAATTGTGAAATAATAAAGGATTGTTCGACTCAGTTTAATCTTTATACAAAAAAATAGTTTTAAATATTTTGAAACGTCCTGTTTTGTGTACGCGCGCGCGCGCGCATGTGTGTGTGTGTGTGTGTCATGTGTCGAATATCCTACCGTCACGTATATGCATTCGCATAATCGCGCGCGCGCGCACACACATACATTATTCCGCTTCACAATTCCCGATATTCTACGCAGATTACAATTGTTGCGTGCATACCGACACGCCGACGCCAAATAACTTGACTACTCTGTGTTCGCAATCCCTTCTATCCCAATCTATCTTTCAGCGTGAGAGTGGATGGGGTTGGCTGCGTTTATGAGGCCGTGGGTCCGAAATTGAAAAGCATCCAGCTTCACGAAAGGAATTGCAGGGGAAGGGCATGCAGCAGTCGCCGACAAGCGAAAGAGCGTATCAGAGGGTAATCCTATTGGTAGATGCCGTCGTCGCGACGTCCCGGCGTCATTGGTCCATCCACGATCCGGGCGTGGCAACTTTCATCTGGAGGGGTTGTAGCATCCCTGGCAACGATTACCAGAAAGCAACTAGGGGTTCGCGCGACGGCAGGAATCCAGCATGGCGGCGACCCAGCAACCTCTAGACGGCGTCGAGCTTTCACCCACCACAACCACCGCTGCCATCGCCATCACAACGATGCTCAGCGTCGCGTGGCTTCGGCCGTTACCAATTGCTCGCACCCACTCTCCTGAATCTCGCTCGATTTGTCCGGGAGAATACTTCAGGAGTCGAAAGTTCGATCGTTCAATTAATTACTCCGTTAGCATCTCCTTTTGAATGCTGTCTCTTCAGTGAAAACAACAAAAAAGATTCCGTGTCAGTTCAATTTTTTTTAAATTGAAATATTTGTTTAGAAAAACTCAAATTTTTAAAAATAATATAATGTTGATAAATATAATTTATTGTTTACGTAAATGTAGTGTATAAATTAAGATTCTGCATTTTATTTAATAATCTCGCTAGTTTTAATACGTAATTTTCTTTTCCATAATAAACTATTCAATAAAACTTTTATATCACAAATTGTGGATCAAGAATTAATCAAGTAAACGTTTCTCAAAAGTTTTTTTTAATCTAAATTATAAAATAGAAAAATTTATTTAATGTTTGTTAATTGTTATTATTAAGTTCTGTTTATAAATGTTTGTTTGTCAATTATTTTACCATCTTTCAAGATTTGATTTTAACAATGTTACAATGTAATCGCTTTGATACCAAATAGTCTGAAAAAAATAACGATGAGTTAAACGTTATGATATAGTTGCAATGTTGCTGAAGTTTCAAAATATGTTTCTCGCTTATTAAAATTAATCTACGACAGATCGAAAAAGTCTAGATATCAGCTCATCGTCATTTTTTATCCAGACTATCCGATACCAAAGCGACTCAGTAAAGACAGCTTTGCCGTCGTGTAGCCAACGATCAACAATTGCACCGTCGTTCAGGTAGGCGTCGTTTCCCGTGACAACGTCTCGCTTCGGTAGGGGGTAGTTTAGTCCGGGTCGTCGGGGGTGGGAGAGACCAGGCGTCATCAGAGAGGATCGAAGGGGTCGGCGCAGGCGCTTCAGCCTGACGACGGGCGTCGTGGCGAGGCACGCGTCAAACGTGGAGGCTTATAGGTTAAATCCTCCCGCTCCTCGTTTTTGTCGTTTTTCCGGCATTGCCTCCTGATCCCGCCTTCAAAAGTGCCGGCGGACCAATCGGCGTCGGGCGCTGCTCGCCTGCTGCCTCCGACGGCACGGCAAGCGCCACGACGACGTCGACGGCGGCGGCGGTGGCGACGACGCTAACGTCATCCACGGGTAACAGCAACTCGCCCGACAGATCCCGGATAGGGATGCCGCAAACGTCATACGCCAATCTAACATCAACGAAGGATCGTTCCGCTTACGCGTCAATCTCGAAGCGGAACGTCGATAGCGCGTAAACGTTTACCCCTGGCTCGATCCTAATCGCGTATCAAAATATCTTTTCTCATCTCACGTTCAATATTTTTCGCGTAATCGCGTCGTCTGAATCGAGCCTCGTAATTTTCGGCTTTTTTGGAATTGCCAAAGTGTTCCATTCGCTGATACCGGTGATTATTGGATTAGAGAACTAGACCATAGATTGAATCGAATCGGACGGTTAAAGAAGTTGGTGATAGAATAAAGAGGGTGAAAATCAGTGATTAAAAGAAGTGATCTACGTTTTACAGTGTAGATTTTGAATCTTAAATTGCTCTGCCCGTGAGTCTGCATAATCTTTAAATGGCCATGAGCATATTAATTTACTTTGAAATCACGATTTTTAATAAAATCTGGATCAAGTTCTCGTCACTAAGAAGAACGAAAAACTTTTTGGTAGAAATAAAAACTATATTAATAAGATGGTTACATTACTAAAGAAGACTAGAAAGGATTACTATTTAATTGATATTTACTTTAGAAAAGAATTTTTAGAAAAAAATATTTGAAATTATCTTTTTTTAACTTCAAAATATTAATATCAATTAAAAAATTCTTAGAAATAAGATTTCCTAAATTATAAGAATAAAACATCAAATTTATTGCAATATTTTGTTCGTAAAATATAAAATTGCTTAAATTTAATCTTCATCGAAATGATCAAATTAAAATCATAGACTAATTTTACAGATATTTCATATTAAAATAAGTTAGTTTCGCTAGGTTGCAAGACAAACATGTTTAACAGCGTTTATATGTTTTATATTTTATATTTTATTGAAATCGTTAAATCACGGTATAAAGAAGTTGTATAACGATTTTAGCGCGTTTGACATCTGATAACGAATGCTTGAGGAGGCACTATGAACGGAGCAGCGACAGTCACGGCGACTGAAGATCATCAGCATCAGCAAACACAGAATGAAACGACTTCGGAACATCCACGGAGTCCCGCCAGTCCACTGAGTGCTAGACATGGTGAGATAACACAAAAAGTATATTTAAATGTTGAAGATATAACAAGATTATATACATGAACATTTAATAAATTTTCAAAGCTTTCATATTATGCAGAAAAATCAAATTAACTCGAGATTTATAATGTTTTAACCTCTAAATGGTACATTGATTTATAGTTTTCATGCCCATATTTCCGTACTTTATTTATATTTGTCAATAATTAATATACATGGAGCGTAATATAAGTGAAAAAAGGTGTGGTTTAATTAATTGGATAATGGCTTTAAGGAAAGATAATGATTTATTTATTTAATTTTTAATGAATTATTAACGTTGAACAATTTATTATAATTTAAAATTTATTTATAGCGTATGTCAAACACACGTGTTAGCATACATATTTTCATATGCAATATGTACAGATATAAAAGCTCTTACAATTTTAACTACCAATATAAATATAATATTTAAGTATAATAAAAGTTTTGCGAAGAATAATTGAATTTATTATTAATTTATTTAGCTGTTTATTGTAAATTATTCATATTATTATTTTTTGTTGCTATTTTTTGTTCTTTATTTAACCTCGATGATGGATATGATGAACTATGACATACGAAGCGTTATCATGCATGTCAAAAGGGTTAAAAAGAAAGCATGTATTTGATAGACGGAATACGTAGATGTATAATACATCGTAACGCATCTCAACACTTTTAACACGTGGAAACTAAAAATAAAGATAATTATCAATAAATGATAATAAAATAATAATATTGATTTATTAAGACAAGATTTAAAAAATTAAATGAAAAAGATTTGTCAATCGGAAAAGAAGCAATGATAAATGTATATATATTGCAATTTTTGAATGATTGAAGATGTTTAGATATATATTTCATAGTCTAATTTTCTTAATATTGTCGCACATTTCTTTTACGGCATAATGTAATACGTAATATTGCGTAATGTAATGCGTAAACTTGCTTCAAAGCGCGATTCTTCTCCTTCCGCTCGCGTCGGGTCATCCGAGATTTGATTATTCTAATGGTATAATGGCGTTGCCTACGTGTTACCCTCTTTTTCCATTTATATCCTACCCCACGACTGTAACTCGTATAAAAGTCCATCGCGGGGGTGAATCTGTGTGCATTCTATCCATTTGCTTCGCAATCCGTCGTTTCTTAGAGGAATGATTCTCTTTGCCCATTTCACTAATCTTTTCTTCAATTATGATATTTTCCAGTTTATTACACTCTAGAAAATATGTGTATATGAAAATATGGTGTCGATTTAACATCTCTGTTGTGTCTATATTATTCTCATTATGTTAAATCAACATGGAGTGGATTTAAAATCTCTGGTATTTATCAACATCATCGTGGTGTGGATTTAACACCATGATTGTGTAGATTTAACATCCATGATGTTAAATTCACACTATGTTGGTGTAAATTTAACACCAACACGATAACATTATATAGACATCACATGATGTTAAATTCGCACCGCTATTTTTTACAGTGTACAGATTGTCAATGATTCAAAACGCATGTATATATACATGTATATATACGTATATAATACATATCTTCTTATTACAATTCTGGTTTTTTACCTCTGACATTAAAAATCTTATCTAATCTGAAATAAAATCTAGATAAACTTTATTTAAGTGTAATTAATTTTTATCTATTATATATACATGTAATGTATGTATTCTGCTTCTTTTTTTTGCTTCTGTTTATAATTGTTATATAATTAGCACATCGGGTATTCAGTAAAACGCAACAGCTTGCAATCATTTTATGATTGTCTACTGAACAATCCTAAACGCACTCAACATTTTAACATGTTCACTCAGCAATTGCCATGATTTCCAGCAAATTGAAACTCAGCGTACACTTACGCTGAATCTCAATCAAAACGCATTGACCAAAATGGCTGTCTCCAATGTATTATTCTTGAAAGTACAATATACGTATGTGACAATGTAATTAACAATTTGATATAAACATTTTTAATGCACATGAAAAGTTCCTACCGTCTGTCAATGGAAGATTAAAAATGTGTATAAATAATAGCTTAAATATATTTTATGTATAAGTAAGAAATATTTTCTGCATATAAAAATTAGATTCTTTTATATACTCACTGTGCTAATATTATACTTACAATAGCTAATATCATAAAAACATTTAACAAAACACTTAATGTTGCAATTTATCAGTTGCGCAACAGTTGCGTTCTGCTGAACGCATCCATTATGTTCCTCTATCTATATAGTTGTAGTATTAATTTGTATTTATTTATTAAATACTCGGTAAATAACAGTATTAATATTACATGCCAACGTTAAATATTATGATTTCAGTAACACTACTTTGTTATCTTTAATAACAAATGAAAGATTTGTTCTTTCTTTCTGGTTTTTAAAAAATGAGTGTACAAGTACACTTTTGCAAGGTAACTGTTTTTTTATTTGTATTTTTTAAGAGTAATTATGTAATAACATTTATAAAGTAACATGTTTCTTTTAGTAAAAATAATAAAAGCGTAAGAGATGCTTACTACTATTGCATTCGCGATGTATTGTTGAAATTAGCAAAAATGTATCGAAAACGAGGAACAAATTTTTTTTATCTTTCTAACTAGTACAATCCCTGGTCCCATTCACAATCACTCCCTCTAGCTTTTCCCGATGATCCTATAATACGAGGGCGCAGGTGGCGCCTTGCCATCCACCAGCATTGATATGCTAATGAAATTTGATGCCCCTGCTTTCGCGTGCGTTACTCTCGGCGCGGGTGGCTTATAGTGGGTGTGTATTTTATATTGGGCCATCATTTTTCTCCTTTCAGTTAACCCCGCACGATCGACAGATTGCACTGGAACGAGATTTGATTAGCTTAATGCCATAATTTGCAATCGCGTGTATGTATATGTATGCGATATTCTTGAGATATATGTACGTACTTTTTAAATATATATATATA